CTCTCTCTGATTACTTTCTCTATCTGAATACTCTCTGTGTGACTGTGCTCTCTCTCTCTCTCTGAATACTCGCTCTCTATCTGAATACTCTCTCTGTGACTGCTCTCTCTCTCTCTGAATACTCGCTCTCTATCTGAATACTCTCTCTATCTGAATACTCTCTCTCCCTGAATGCTCTCTCTCTCTCTCTGACTGCTCTCTTTCCATCTCTCCCTCTCAATGCTCTCTCTTTCTCTCTCTCAATGCTCTCTCTCTCTGTCTGCCAATTTGCTTATAATTCACTGTGTCAGAGAGCAGAGAGAGCTGTCCTGCTGTGATCCCTGTATATTTGAGGAGTCCTGTAGCTCAGTGGTTAGAGCACTTGCCTTGCACGCGAGACACCTGGGTTCAATTCCAGGCAGGGCAAAACCTTGGGCAAGTTTCCTTACTCCACACACCTAATAATAATCCCTCCAAAACAAAGCAATAATAAATTGGTCATTTTCAATCCACGACTGTTTGTGGGACATTGCTGTGCGCAATTAGCTGCCGCGTTCGCCCACAAATATAGTCAATTCACTTTACAGTATATTCTGTGAAGCGCTTTGAGACTTCGAGAAGACGTGAAAAGCGCTATATCAAATGCAAGGATTATTATTATTATTATTTATATCACCCAGGGCCGAGGACAGTTTAATTCTCTGACTCTGTGTCTCTCTCCCCCTGCTGCCCCCTTTATGTCCCTGGCTGAGTGTTTGTCTGACATTGGGAAATGCTAAGTGCAGGCCAGGCAGAGCTGTGTGAGCAGCAGACACTCACTTTGGATACTTTTAAAGTAAAATAAGAGGGGGTAGAAAAGCGAGAACTTACGTTTAAAATCATATCATAACTTGACAGATGTAAAGATTACTAGTGTATCTTTCCATTTGATATCTATTTATATTTTAACATTTTACAATAAATGTATATATTAAAATATAAATATTATTCCTATCTATATATTATATTTGTATTATATATTATATATAGTATTAACATAGTATTAATATTTTCCTGATTTGAAAGATGCTATACAAATGTAATTTGTTGTAGTATCCGTGCAATACACATACAGGGTCCCTCTGCCTCACTCTCTCGCTCTCTCTCTCACACACACACGCAGCCCTTTAGATAAAAAGTCACAAAATCAACCTATAAAATAGGTGCCTCACATTCACACAGCCTGAAATTCAACCCAAACCCAGATTTGTTTTGTTTGGAGATTTTGAAATGTTTCTTGGTTTGGTTTGAACTTCAGGCTGGCTTTCACATCAGCAATGATTTTTTTCATTCTTTAAAATTCTGAGAATCTTACAGTTAAAAAAGAGATTAAAAAAAAGTCTACAATTTAAAAAAATTGGTCATTCAATCCAGACTGTTTGTCGGACACTGCTGTGCGATATTGGCTGCCACGTTTCGCCCACAAAATATACAGTCAATTCACTTTGCAGTATATTCTGTGAAGCACATTGAGACTTTTAAACAATGTAATAAGGCACTATATCAAATGCATGGATTATTATTATTGTTATTAATTTTTAAACCGTTTCACAAATAATAATTAGTTGAACAACCCCTCCAGTGTCCCACACTTCCAACCCAAGCTATGTCTCACACAAGAAAATGAAGAGGTGACTTATTGCCTCTGGGCTGGTTTAAGTGGTTTAAATTAAAATGGATTAATTAAGTGTTTTTTTTAATTAAAATAAATGCCCTTTACTTTAATGTTATTTACTGCATTGGTCACTGTGTGCGAATTGACGTACACCTACAAAACACACGGTCACGGGATATAGTAATAATAATCCCTGTATTTGATATAGCGCCTTATGTCTTATGTATCGCCCACAACATATGCAGTCAATTTACTTTATATGCAAGGATTATTATTATTTTGTCGTTGAGACATACGGGATTCATTGTAAAGTGGAGTGACTGTGTATTTTGTGGGTGAAACGCGAAAGCTCTTTGAGACGTGCTCCTGGTGTGAACGAGGCTGTGGCAGATTGAACCCCAGTGTGTGTGGGTAATGATTTCTCTAAGTTGCTCTTTGTCGTCTGATGATCACTTTAAACTGCAATCACTGACTCGCCCACCAGTGAAAATCACTTCTCCCTTCGCTCAAACCCCTCCTGATCTGAAAGTGTTAAACTGCTCTGTTGCAGTTGAAGGAGGTAGAGGTTGCTAAGATACCAGTGTGTGTGTGTGTGTGTGTGTGGTTAGAGCATTCGCCCCGAAAGCAAGAGGACCTGGTTTTGATTCCCGTTAGGGCGAAACCGTAGACAAATTTACAGTATATTCTGTGAAGGCTTTGAGACGTCTCCGAGACATGATAAGGCTCTATATCAAATGGAAGGACTATTATTATTTGTATTAAGTCGGAACCCGGTTGTTAGTCGATTGGTGGATTGCTTTCCGGGGGTAATAATCTCTCCCAACAAAAAAAACTAATGTGGTCACTCAATCCATGATTGTTTGTGGGACACTGCTGTGCTGCGTTTCACCCACAAATCATACATTCAATTGAATTTACAGTATATCCTGTGAAGCGCTTTGAGACGTCTCAATGATGTGATAAGACGCTATATCAAATGCAAGGATTATTATTTTCAGGTCTTGTCCGTCTCTGCCCGAGTGGAGGTGAAGGGAGTGTTTTAGCTTTGTTTATCAAGACTTATCCTCCAGTTTGTCTTGCACTTTCTCTTCCATCCGAAATTCACTCCCAAAATCTTGGCCGCTGCCCTCCCAGCTGTGCACGGGACATCCCGGTGCAGATTAGCTGTCGTGTTCATCTCCGTGACAGTAATTGCGCCCTTTCTGATAATAATAATCCTTGTATTTGATATATATTTGACGTCTTCAAGACATCCCAAGCGCTTCACAGAATATACTGTAAAGTGGATTGACTGTATTTTGTGGGCGAAACACGGCAGCCAATTGCACACAACAGTGTCCCACAAACAGCTGTGGATTGAGTGACCAAATTATTTTTTCACTTTGATTTGGTGCAACTCTTTGATACGTTTGTAACACACAAAAGGTTCTGGTAACTGCAGTTCAGTCTCTTTTGGACTTTGACCTCCAACAGTTACAGTGGCGATAGTGTTATTATTAAACACAAGACCAGATGTGGGAATTACTAACTGTTTATGACATAGTGATCCAGCTCACCAGCTCCACAATGTCTCAGTTTATTAACACTGTGATCTTGGTGTAATATTAGGGCAAGTTTACATGAAATGTGCTTTACAAACACAGTAACAACATACATTTACACATCACTTTGGAAAAGGTCTCCTGTGAAGCACTTTTAAGATGACTCAAAGACGTGATAAGGCGGTATATCAAATGCAAGGATTATTATTATTATAATATTTGATATAGCGCCTTAACACATCTTCGAGATGTCTCAAAGTGCTTCACAGAATATACTGTAAAGTGAATTGACTGTATATTTTGCGGGCGAAAGTATGTGCTGAAAACACAGAGAAGTAAGAGAGGTTGTTTTTACCTATTCGTAATAAATGTATTTAATTAATTAAATGTAATAACTAATTAAATTGTTATTGAACAAAACAAAACCTTGCCCCATGTTGGGGACTTTCATCTTACAATCTGATCATACAATGTCAGAGATGCCTTCCTTCTGATGAGACATTAAACCAAGCTTCCGTTTGTGCCCTGTTCAGGTGGATGTTAAAGATCCCGCGGTGCTATTGGAAAAGAGAAGGGAGTTTCTCTCTCCTGGTGTCCTGGCCAACAATCCCCAGATACAATCAGTCATTCATCTTATGACTGTTTGTGGGACATGCTGTGTGCAAACTGGCTGCTGCGTTTTACCAGTGAAATTCAGAGTATATAACAGTAAATCCTGTGAAATACTTTGAGAAGTCTCAACAACTTGATAAGATGCTATATGAAATACAAGGATTTATTCAGATCTATTTATACTAGATCTATTTAGTCAGTTATTAATTAATTAATTAATTAATTAGTGTACTTAGACATTTACTTGTTTGTTTATTTATTTAAATTCTGTAAGACAAACTGTCTCAAGCTGTACACTATGAATAGTCATAAATATCAACTTACCATTTATAAAAAAAACCTGTCAATCACACCCGATTACATCAGCATAAATATGAACAATTATAAAATATAGCTATGAGCTGATATTTTGAAGTATGAAAAATGTTTTCTCAGAGGGGACCTTTTCAACATTTTAAATAGGATTCAAAAGACACAGGGACAAGAGGTTTAGAGATGTAAACAGGCAATTTCAGGACAGACACCGGGAAATATTTCTTTACCCAGAGGGTAATTAACGACTGGGTTACCAGGAATCGGGGGCAGGGTTGAAGCCTCATCTAAAAAGCAGCTTGATGCTGTGGTGCTGGAGGGCGGTTGGGTGAGTGTTCTGGAGGCATGAGATCAGCCAGATGCTTCTTCATCCAAACCCAGCTTGTGACCTTGCCAATGTGAGTGGGTAATATTAGCCAATAACATTAACCACTAGCACTGGATAGTAACATTAACCAGTAACATTAACCGGTAGCATGGAGTCCTGTAGTGTAGTGATTGGTGCGCTAGTAAATTCTGTCAAGTGCTCCGGGACGCTACCCCACGCGAAGGGCTCTATATAAATGCAAGTTGTTGTTTTTGTTGTTGAAGCGCTTTGAGACGGCTCAACAACGTGATAAGGCACTCTATCAAATGCAAGCATTATTATTATTATTATTATTATTAGCCAGTGACGTTAGCCTGGAGTCATGTAGTGTAGTGGTTAGAGGGCTTGCCACACAAGCAAGAGGACCCAAGTTTGATTCCCAGGCAAAACCTCAGGCAAGTTTCCTTACTCCACACATTTCTGGTTATCCAGCAGTAAGTAATAACTTGATAAGGCTCTATATCAAATAAAGGATGATTATTATTGTTATTATATTATTATTAGCTGTTGAGCTGACGTTCTGGCTGTGTTGCAGGTGAAGGTGTGGTTTCAGAACCGCAGGACTAAATACAAGCGTCAGAAGCTGGAGGAGGAGGGTCCAGAGTGCGGGCCGAAGAGGAAGGGATCGCACCACATTAACCGCTGGCGTCTGGCCACACGCCAGCCCAGCCCACAGGAGGTGGACGTCACTTCTGAGGACTGAGCCCCCAGGACTGTACGCCAACCCACAGCACGCAAGCTGCACCGCGCACATGCGTGTGCTGGCAAACGCCGGGATGTTATAGCGACACACCACCTGTACACCACACCCACGCACAAACACTCACACAAACTCACACACACGTATACTACACCTGAACACACACACCCACAAACTCACACACACCCACACACAAGTACGCCACACCTACATACAAAGAATCACACACTCACATGCAAACACAGACACGTGCACACAAACACAACACATTACATCTGTATAGCGCCTTTCACGTCAGGAGGACTAAAGCGCTGAACACACACACACGCACACACAACCCACAAACCCTTTCACACACCCTCACTCACACCGAGTTGGACGTTATAATGAGTGCCAGCCCCAGCTCCTCCTGTGTGAGGACAGACTCTGGAGACTGAATGCACTTCACTGACCGGGTCAGAGACCTGATCCATGTTATCGCCGGGTTGTCAGCGGCACATTATATATATATATAAATATATATTATATTATATTAAAAAAGCTTAAAATAACCTTTTTTTATATATATATTTCTTTGACATTTCCTGCAACAATCACCTGATACCTGCTTGGCTCCAGTCAGCGACTCCATACCTCGGGCTCTGACAGCCTCACCCTTCATGGATGCAGTCTACACCTCACAGAGCCAATACGGAACCTCAGCATCCTGCTCGACCCTCAACAGTCCTTCATCCCCCACATCCATGCCATGACCAGCTCTGCCTTTCCCCACCTCCGCAACATTGGCCGGCTCCCGTCATTCACCCCAGGCCGCCAAGACCCTCATCCACACATCACATCCAAGCTCCACTATGCAAACTCCCTGTTTGTCGGCCTCCCCAACTCCTCCCTCCACCGGCTGCAGATCATCCAGAACTCTCCCAACCAGACCTTATCACCCATCCTCGCCCGAGTTCACTGGTTCCCCATCCCTCAGACGATACAGTTCAAGATCCTGGTCCTCACTTTCAAAACCCTCTTTGCCCTCAATCCCCCGACCTCTGTGACTTCCTAACCCCCTACCATCCACTCCCTCCGCTCAATGGGCTCCAGGCTGCTTCACGTCCATCACCTCGCCAGCCCCACCATTGCGGGTGGGCCTTCAGTCTCTCTGCCCCCACCCTCTGGAACTCCATCCGACAGTCCCTCCTCCTCGGCCCTCCCTTGCCTTCTTCAAGGCTCGTCTCAAGACCCTCCCCTTTGACCTTCGGTCTCCCTCCTACCCCTACCCCTCCCCACTCTCCAACCCTCCTGATCCCGACCACCAGCTCGGGTGCGGATCCTGACTGTCCAGTGCTTTGAGACGTCCTCCTGATGTGAAAGGCGCTAAACAAATGTAATTTGTTCTTGTTGATATCATGTGGTCTCCCCCCCACGACACCTCCGCCGCACTATAACATATAGCATGAATTTGTTTATAACGCCCTCTCCTGCTAAAATGTCCGACATCCGTGGTAATCAGGTCACTGATGATGTAACTTCCGGCTTTGCACAGAGCACAGGAAGTGACATCGCAGCGAACTGATGACCCAGAAGTCAGCCATTTTGTTTTTGTGGGAAACTGATCAATTAAAGCTTTCGAAATAAATAAATAAATCGCATAAAATGGCAGTCATTGTAACACAGCTCCACTGTTATCTGCGCTGTAAGCCCGCAAGGCCATTTGGTCTTACAATTTAGCATTGAATTATTGTGGAAATTTCCCTCTTTATCTGAAAGGTTTGGCTTTCATTAAGAAATGCAGAAAAATTGAAAATTCTGAAGTTTTAAGAGTTCGGTTGTTCGGACAGCTCCAGTCCTGGTCACACTAGAGGTTGGGGGAAGGAGACATTTCGGCGCTTCTGATTTCATCCTCTCACAATCTCTGCCCGACCGACCTCCCATCACAGTGTCCAGCTGTTAGTTAAACGATCCCAGGGTTCTGGCCTCTATTACCCTCCTAGTTACCCCGTATCAGCTGTTGACTGCGTGTACAGATTTGATGCTGGATTTGTGTTTTTTTATCCAGGTGTTTGACACATGCAGAAACCCATTACCGTGATCAGCCAGGTGTCTGACACACGCGGACACCCATCAGTCTGATCAACCAAGTGTCTGACACACACGGAAATCTTTCACTGTGCTTAAGGTATCCAAATCAGACTTAGTTCCACATGTGTATGCCACCTACAACTGGGGAAATTTCCCTGTGTCTGGAATGGAATGTGCACTCTCTCTCTCTTACTGGAGGGACACATCCTGTTTACCTAATCCTGGAGAGTGTTAGGCGCAGGTTGGCAAGAGCCAGAGTTTGCGTTTGGGTAACTGCTGGAGTCTAACTAGCTAAAACCACATAGCTTGCCATTGAAAGCACTGTCTGGCAAGCTTTCCCGCTGCTTGTCCAACTAGGACAATCTTACCCATTAGGGCTTTGGTTTGCAGGGTGAACAGAAACTGAATGGGAAGAGAGCTGGGTCATGGAGATAGATAGACAGACAGGAAGCGAGTTTGAGGGAAAGAGAGCAAGTGTGTGTGTGGAGGAGAGAGTGAGTGTGTGTGAGAGAGTAAGATAGAGAGCAAAAGAGAGTGTGTGTGGGAGTGAGAGAGCAAGCAGGGGGGTTATAGACCTGGTGGCTCATGTGGAGACAAACACCAGGGTGGACTGGACTGGCTGGATGGACGGTTTCTGTGCCGGAACATTCTGTGGTTCTATAATATCTTAGAATAATGCAACATATCAGAGGTGAAAGGTTTGCTGATGTCCGCCCGGTCCCAGACGTGAAAGGTCAGCATCTCACCTAGCTGACACCACCGCCCAAGCGGAAGCTGCCCTGTCGGCACTGAACAACAACAACAAAATTACATTTATAGAGCGCCATTCACGTCGGGAGGACGTCCCAAAGTGCTGAAGGAGTTAATAAAGCAGTAGCTTCACTGCTGCCACACAGCACAGCGGACTGGCAGCGGAGAGAACAGAATAGCTGAGAGATCATTAACACAGAACATTAACCAGCTAAAGACTGAATCAGGCAAAGATGAAAAGAGGCCGAGATTGAGGGCAGCTCCACAGAGAGTGCAGAGGATACTCTTGCTCCCTGCCTTCATTAGCGATAGCATCTCGATCCCCCCCAACACCGCCCCCCCCACCACACCTGTCTGCCACTCATTCATTCATAGAAAGCCTGCAGCACAGGAGGTGGCCATTCAACCAATTGCTCCCCCACTGGAGCTCTCTAGCCTAATCCCATTCCCTGCTCTCTCTCCATCGTGTCTGTGCTGGTGTTCGCTTCCCCACCTGAGCACTTCACTCGAAATCCAGACAGTTGGGAGCACAGATACGATGGGGAGAGAGCAGGGACTGGAATTACAGTGGTGTTGGTTTGTGTATGTGCGGTTGGGGTCAGGTATGGGTTACTGACAGCTGAGGAGTTTTAGTTAATGAGAGACTAAACCAAAGGAGATGGTGCGAGTCCTCTAACTCTCTAACTTGTAATTATTCTCAAAACAAGAGCGGGGGAAGGAGCAAGTAGGCGGTGAGAAAGTGGGGCAGAGCGGGAGAGAAGAGTGGGCGGAGAGACCGAACGCGAGAGAGAGGGGAGAGCGCGGGGGAGGGGGCAAGAGAGCCGGGGAGAGAAAAGGGAGGAGAGCAGGGGAGAGAGTGTGTGAGAGAGAGATCGACAATCACCTAGATAAAATTGTTCACTCACTTCATGGCTGTTTGAGGGACATTGCTGTGTGCAAACTGGCTGCTACAATTACTTACAAAATATACAGTCACTAAACTTTACAGTAAATCCTATCAACAGTATTGAGACATCTCACATCTCAGATAAGTCGCTGTATCAAATGTACAGATATTTATTATTATAAGCACAACAACCACCATAAGACAAATGCTTCACAGCCACTCAGCATTGCTAACTAGCATTTACATAGCGCTCGTCACACAGGATAGCGCCTCAAAGCCCTGCACAGTGGTAGGTCAGACACAGAGAATGGGAGAAGATGGAGGGGAGGCGACCATAAACATGGTTGAAGAGGTGGGATTTAAAGATATAGAGGGGGTGAGGCGGAGGGGCGAGGGGGACTGGTCAAAGGAGGGGGTTCCACAGTTTAAAGTTGGGGAAGCTGAAAGCTTGGCCTCCAACAATGGTGGTGCGGAGGGAGCACCAGACCAGGCACTGGGGGAGGGACTCTTCCCACTCAGCCCACCAGGAAGCTCGCAGGCAGCATCCACCTAGTGAGGGCGCAAACCCACGCTTGTCGGAAGTCGAATGACCAATATATGACAGTTCATCGTGGAGTGGAGGTAAGCGGAGAACTGGCTCCAAGGTGACATGTTTGACAACGTGGCATCTCGATGGTCTGTAGTATTCCAGGGCACTGCTGATGACAGCACAGCCCAGCCTGGCTCATCAGAAGGATTTGAAAGGGTAGACCAGTCACTGGGGGCAGGGAATCCTCCTACTCAGATCCTGTTAACCCTGCAAGCCAAAGCCCTAATGGGTAGGGTGGTCCCAGCTGGACAAGCAACAGGAAAGCTTGTCAGACAGTGCTCTCAATGGCAGGCTATGCTGTTTTAGCTGGTTAGACTCCAGCAGTTATCCCAACACACATCGTGGTGCAGAGAATGGGAGGAGAGGGGAGGGCAGGATAGGAGAGAAAAAAAATAGTTGATTTGTTTTCAAATTCTCTCTCAGAGACACTCAATACCTAATCCAGGTGTGAAAGGTCAAATTCACATTAACCTGCTCTACATTCCAGCCATCATAGTCACAGCCCCTCATCTCTATGTCCAGCAGGGAGGTTACAGACCGCCTAAAAAAAGACAAGTAATGTAACTGTGGTCTTGTTACTAACCCTTTAAACTTTTCCTGATGTGTTTCCCGAAATGTAAGACAACAATAACTTGCATTTATACAGCGCCCTTCACGCAGGGTAGCGTCCCAGAGCGTTTGAGAATGGCAGAGTCTGACAACAAGCCGGGGAGAGGCAGGGGGGAGATGACTGTAAGCACGATCAAAAAGGATGGTCTTCAGTCTGGATTTGAAGGTGAGGAGTGGGGAGGCAAGGCAGAGGGATTGAAGGAGAGAATTTTAAAGTTTCGGGGCATAGTGCCCCCC